TGATGGATCACCGTGATACGCCCGCACAGTCTTCGGACGATGTGCACCGCCGCGGACGCCCGTCTCCTCGGAGCTCGTCTTCTCGACGGAGGCGGGCGCCAGCTCCGGAAAACTGATAAGACCTGACGGACGCGCCGCGCGCGCGCCGCAGCCGCCCCGCCCGCGGGACCCGCCGCGACGCGCGCGCCCCCCGCAGGCCCGAGCATCCGAGCGGGCGCCCCCTAAGAGTCCGCTACGCCGTGTTGTACTTGAGGCCCTCGGGCGGCTCGTTGGCGCTCGTCCAGTTCGCCTCGGCCTCGGCGATGAAGGTCTCGGCCATCTGGAGCGAGGCCTCGAGCTCGCGGCGCGCGTTCGAGGCGAGGTCGCCGAAGGCGGCGTCGTTGGCGCTCTCCGCGCGCTGGAACCAGTAGCGCGCGACGTCGTAGTCCACGGGCACGCCGTGGCCGTAGAGCGTCATGAGGCCGATGTAGTACATGGACCCGCCGTGGCGCCGCTGGGCGCCCTCCTGGAAGAGGAGCATGGCCCGCCCGAGGTCCTGGTTCGCGCCGCGGCCGTAGGCGTAGGCGAGGCCGAGGTGGAAGTTCGCCGCGTCGTGGCCCTTGGCCGCGGCCGCGCGGTACGACTCGAGCGCCTCGTTCAGGTCCGGGCCGTCGCGGCCCAGGCCGTACTCGGCCATGACCCCCAGCCAGTGGAACGCGTCGGCCGAGCCCAGGCCGGCGGCCTTGTGGAGCCAGGTCCGCGCGGCGCCGTGGTCGACGTCGCCGCCCCAGCCCTCGAGGCGCGCGACCCCCAGCATCCACAGGGCGTCGACGTGGTCGCGCCGCGCCGCCTCGGAGACCCAGGCGAAGGCGGCCTTCTCGTCGCGGGCGACGCCCCGGCCGTGGCGCAGGAGCGCGCCCAGGGCCACCATCGCGCCCGCGTGGCCCTGCTCCGCCGCGAGCCGGAAGTTGCGCACGGCCTCCGCGGGCGACTCGGCCACGCCGCCCTTGCCGTAGAGGTAGAGCAGCGCCGCGAAGTAGAGGTGCTCGGGCCGCCCGTCCTCGGCGTCGCGCATGATGCGCGCGCCCTCGTGCTCCGGCACGCGCTGGCTCCGGTCCATGCCCACGTCCCGGCCGATGGCGTCCGTCGGCGACGGCGCGGCGGGGCGCAGCGCGATGACCCACACGACGGCGGCCGCGAGCCCGCGCATCGTCGCGCGCGTATCTTACGCTGCCCGCGATGAGGCCCGCGGGCTGCCCATCGGACTTCCCAACGAGATGTTTGTGTTCCGGTGGATGGTGCCCCATCCGAGCCGTGCGCATGCTGCAAGGTCGTCGTCTCCGAGGAGGCGCCTCGAGGCGCGCGTGTCGCGCGCGCCGGGACTTCCAAGCTTCGCCCACGCCGGTCCTTTTTTTTAACCGCCGCGGCCCTAGAGCTCCTGGGGCTTGACCATGCCGCGGAGGCCCCTCTGCGTGAGGTCCTCGAGGGAGAACGAGTAGTAGAGGTCGGCGTGGGGCGGGACGAAGGGCGGGTTGCCCTCGCGGCCGAAGGCCATGGCCGCGGGGCAGCCGACGATCCTGCGCTCGCCCTTGCAGATGCCCTGGAGGCCCGGCTCCCAGCACGCGGGGAAGTTCGCCATCGACTTGGACCCGAGGATGACCTTCTGGGGCACGGAGCCCGTCTTGAAGGACGTGTCGACGACCTTCTCGTCGGCGGCGAGCTTGCCCACGTAGTGGACGCGCAGGATGTCGCCCATGACCGCGCCGTCCTCCTCGGGCACGCAGTCGACGGGGTCCGTGATGTTGATGCTGAAGGGGATGTGCGGCTGGTCGTCGGGGATCTCCACCTTCTGGAGCGTGTCCTTGATGACGCGCTTCCACTTGATGCCCAGGTTGAGGATGTCGTCGATGTACTTCAGGGCCTTCTCGTGGTCGTTCTTCAGGTTGAGCTTCGCCTGGCCCGCCTTGCCCTTGATGGCCATGTCGAAATCGAAGTGCTCGTCCTGCACTTCGGCGCCGAGCGCCAGGGCGGCGAGGAAGACGAGCCGCATGGCGGAGCTGCAGCCCAGAAGAACGGACGACTTCGCCGCGTGGCCAGCTTAAGCCAGCAGCCGCGGGCAGCCACACTTGGTGAGATGCACGGGCGGCTGCAAGCGCCGCGTTGCACTCGATGCTGCATTCATTCGTTGGTCGAGTATGGGACGGGCAGCCCGTCCGGTCACCGTGAACCTCGCGCGGACGCGCAAGCGGTCGAAGCCCCATGCAACAAACAGCACGACATCGCCACCACAAAGAAGAGACCGCGCGACGCCGCGCGCGCGCACGGCGAGCAGCGCGGCGTCGCCGACGACGTGGCGCAGGCCCGTCGGCGTCGACGCCGCCGAGGCCGCGGACATCCTGGACACGCACGTCCTCGCGCCCGTCGACTTCGAGCCCGTCTTCGAGCGGGGCGGCGGCGGCCGGAACTTCCGCGGCGTCCTCGTCGTCTGCGCGTGGCTCGGCGGCGGCGCCGTCGCGTATTCCTACCTCAACGGCTGGCCCCTGGCGCAGTCGCTCTACTACGCCGTGAACTGCGGCTTCAGCATCGGCTTCGGCGCGCTGGCCGAGACGAGCGACGCGAGCCGCCTCTTCTCCGTGGCCATGATCCTCCTGGGCGGCACCCAGGGCAGCAAAAGAGAGCGAAATTCCCAACTTCAAAGGCTCCGATCTCGGCCGTTTTCCACTCGTTTCGGCTGATTTTTGGACGAGCGATCATCTCTCGGAACCGTCTCGAAGCGTGGATGCTTTTCCCGGAACGCGCGCGCGCGGAACACTCACGTTGAAGCGACGTTGAATCTCTCTTTTGCTGCCCAGGCGGCACCGTCGCGTCGGCGGCGCTCACGCTCTACGTGCAGTCGTGGTTCGACCGCCTCGAGCGCCTCGAGGCCGCGGCGGCGAAGCAGACCGTCTCCGTCGCGGGCATCCTCTCCGGCCGCACGGCCCTCGACGTCGACGGCGACGGCGACAGCGACTGCTTCGACAAGTGCTTCGGCGTCTGGCACGCGTGCGTCGGGCGGCACCTGTCGCCCGCGCGGTCCGCGTTCGCCGCGTTCGGCGCCATGGTCGTCGGCGGCACGGCCTTTGGCATGCGGAGCCAGGGCTGGTCCTTCGTGCGGTCCCTCTACTTCGCCGTGTCGGCCATGTCGACGGCGGGGCTCCAGGCGCCGAACGCGCGCGGCGCCGACGGCGACATCGACGACTCCGTCGCGTGGTTCGTCGCGGCCTTCTGCGTCGTCGGCGTGCCCGTCTTCGCCGTCGCCGTCGGGAGCGTCGCGGGCGTCCTGCTCGACGACGTCGTCGCGCGGCGCGCGCGCGGCCGCCCGGCGCTCTCGGACGACGACTTCGACCGCGTCAAGGGCCTGAGCGTCGACGACGGCGTCGTCGACTTCGGCGAGTTCCTCGTGCTCGAGCTCCTGCGCGTCGGCACGGTCGACCTCGAGACGGTCCTGGACGTCAAGGCGACCTTCGACGAGATCGACGTCGACGGCACGGCCACGCTCGACCGCGCGGAGGTGCGGAGATTCCAGAAGACGACGGCGCTGCGGTCCCGCTACGCGGCCTTCCTCAGCGAGAAGCGCGGCGTCGACCGCGGCTTCGCGCTCGAGGCCGCGCTCGAGCTCGACGTCGAGTACCTCGTCGTCAAGGCGCTCAAGAACGGCTGGCTCGTCGAGCCCGGCGCCGCCGTCGGCGACGGCGACGACGACGGGTCCGACGGCGGCGGCGGCGGCGCGCCGTCGTGCGCGGCCCTGCTCCGCGGGCCGCGGCGGCGGCGCTCGACGGCCGCGCCGCCGCCGGCCGCCGTGCCGCCGCCGCGGAGCGTCGCGTGCCAGACGCCCGACGGGGACGGCGCCGCGTCCTCCTGCGACGCGAGGGACGCGGGCGCCCGCCGCGCCGACGCGGAGGCCTCCGTCGCCCGCGGCGACCGCTTCGACGCCCGCTTCGACGTGGAGACGCCGCCGCCGCCGCCGCCGGCCGCGCCGGAGCCGCCCGCGCGGCCGCCGAGCCCGCCGCCCTACCCGGACCGCGACTCGCCCGACTCGCACCCGGCGCGGAACCTCGGCGCGCTCCGGGACCTCATGCGCTTCGCGACGCCGCGGCCCCAGGTCGCGCCGCGCTAACGACAGTGGACAGCATTTTACTCGGCGGTCCTCACAGCGACGACGGGTCCTTCTTCAGGAACCGCTTCTGCGGCGAGTACTCGCCGGCGAGGACCTTCTTCAGGCCCGTGATCTGCTGGAACTTGGCGTAGGCGGCGCCCGCGGCGGCCGCCGGGAGCGCGAGGAACGGGAGCACGCCGAGGAGCACGCCCTCCTCCTCCTCCGTCGCCGAGATCCCGAGCCCGCCCGCGGCCGGCGCCGCCGGCCGCGAGAAGGACGGCAGCGCGGACGGGCCGGCGTAGTCGGGGAAGACCTTCGACGCCGGCTTGGGCGCCCGCGCGGGCGCGGCCTTGGGCGCGGCCTTGGCGCGGGGCGCGGCCTTCTCCGCGGGGCGGAGCGCGAGCTGCGTCGCGACGTAGGCGCGCCGCTTCTCCGCGCGCGTCCGCGGCGTCGGCGCGGGCGCGGTCATGGGCGAGTCGGGGACGACGACGCTGAGCATGAGCGCCGACGCGACGAAGGACGCCGCGATCTTGCCACCCCAATTCGCCTCCGCGACCGCGTCCGTCGTCGCGTCCGTCGGCTTCGGCAGGCTCGGCTCCGCGTCCGGCGCCGCCGTGGACGCCAGGCGCGGCGCGACGCGGCGCGGCGCCGGCGCGCGGAACGCGTCGACGCTCAGTGCGACGGCGACGAGGATGACAGAGATGCGGCCCATGGTTGAGCGGGCGACGGCCGTCCCTCTTTTGGCTTTGCTGACGCGGCCACCTGTGTGCTTCACACAGGGCAGCAAAGCAAACCTAAGCGCAAAAATAATAAAATCTCGTGAAACGAGAGCGAGCCGAATGTGCTTGCAGCGCCCTCCGCAGCGCCGACCACACGACGTCTCGGGGCAGCCTCTTGCTCAACGCCGCGCGATGGCCGCCGCCGCGCCGCTCTTCCCGAACCTCCCGAGCCCCGGCTCCCACGCGCTCCAGCTCGCGCCGTCGCCCGGGGCGGGCAGCCAGCCGGTCATGATGATCTTCCACGGGGGCGAGCACCAGATGGTCTTGGCCCCGCGCCCCCGCGACCGCCCGCGACCGCGCGCAGACACCGTTTCCCCCGCGCAGGCCGTCGCCGGCGCCCACGCGCAGGCGCAGATCGTCGCCTGCGGCACCTGCGGCATCCGCGTGCAGCGCCGCGGTCCCGGCGCGGCGTACTGCAGCGAGCGGTGCCACCGCGCGGACGGCTGGCGGCGCAAGGCGGACACGGAGCGCGCGCCCTACATGAAGGCGGCGCACGCCAAGGCCCGGGCGGCGCCGCCGTCGCCCGCGCCGCCCGCGCCGCCGCCGGCCGACGCGCCGCCCGCGCCGCCGTCGCCCGCGCCCGCGGCGGCCGCCGCCTGGGCGCGCGCGCCCGGCGCGGCGGTCCCCCCGGTGCCCTGGGCCGGCGGCCACCCGCAGCTCGCCCTCGACGCGCGCACGGGGCAGCTGTCCCAGCTCTCGCCCGCGGGCGGCGGCGCGCCGCTGCCGCCGTGGGCGGCGGCCGCGGGCTTGGGGCTCGTCGCCCCTGGGGGCCCGCGCGCGCCCTTCTGGGTCGGCGGCGCGCCCGTCCAGCTCTCGCAGGTCCCGGGCGGCGGCCTCGCCATGCAGCCGGGCCTCGTCGCCGCCGCCGCCGCGGCCCAGCAGCAGCAGCGGCGCGCCGCGGACGCGCGGCGCCGCGCGGACGCGATCGCGCGCGACGCGGCGCGCGCGCCGAAGCGGTCCGCGGAGGGCGCCGGTGCGCCGCCGGCCGGGGGCAACAGCACAAAGCGCCACCGCGGCGGCGCGCAGCCCGTGACGCCCGAGGAGCCCGCGGACGGCGCGGCGCCGGGCGCCGCGGACGGCGCGCGCGTCGCCGCGGCGCTCGCCGAGGCCGCGGCGCCCGCGCGGCGCCTCCCGTCCGACGCCGCGGCGCCACTGCCGTCGGCGCCGGGCCTGCTGTTGCGCGCCGGCGACGGGCGCCTCGCGGGCGCGCTGTCCGCGCCCGCGTTCAACGAGGACGACGTGAGCGACGCGTGGCGCGACGCGCGCGCTTTGATCGTGCGCGTGGGCCGCGACGGCGCCTCCGGGTCGCCCGTCGCCGCCGCGAGCCGGTCCCTCGACGAGCTCTTAGCGTCGCGCGCGGAGCCGGGGCCCGACGGCTCGCCGGGCGCGTCGTTCGCGCGGCGCTTCGCGGAGAAGGCCAAGGCGACGATCGCCGCGCGGGGCGCCGACGGCGCGCTGACGCTGGGCTGGGGCACGGCGACGTTCGGCGACGGCGCCGGACAGCCCGGCGCGGCGACGCGGCCCCGGCGGCTCGTCGCGCCCGCGCCCGCGCGCGGCGCGCGGCGCGCGGCCGCGGACCTCCAGTCGCTCGAGGACGACTTCCTCGCGCCGCTCCTCGAGGCGCTCTGGGCCCTCCAGGTCGCCGCGGCGTCGGCCGTGCCGCCGGCGGATGCCGAGCGCCTGCTCACGGACCGGTCCCTCGCGCCGGCGCTCCGCTACCCGTCCGCGGCCTGCGGCTGGAACAGGGTGAGCGTCCACGTCTCCGTCGTCAGGCGCCACGACGACAAAGGCGCCGACGCGCCCTGGGACGGCGGCGCGACGGCCTGCCCGGGCCACGTCGACGCCTTCGGCGTGTCGCCGATCCTCGTGCTCAACGTCGGCGACTCCTACGTGCCCGGCGGCCGCCTCTGCCTCCTCGAGGCCGCGGGCTGCGACGGCGGCGCGCGGCCCATCGTCGTGCCCACGGACGCGTCGCGCGCCGTCGCCGTCTTCACGGACTTCGCGCGGCGCCACGGCCAGCTCCCCTTCGAGCGGCCGAGCCGCGCGGCCCGCGACGCGCCCGCGCCGCGCTCCGAGCTCCTCCGCGTCTCCGTGCTCCCCTACTGCACGCTCGGCTGCGTGCGATGGACGCGGTGCATGGCCCAGAAGGTCGCGCCGTCGCCCGACGCGGACCGCTGGGCCAACTGCGACGCGTGCGACCACTGGTGCGCCCTCGCGCCGGGGGACGTCGCGCCGGGGCCCGACGACGACTGGACCTGCGCCCGCTGCGCAAAGTAGCCGCGGCGCCCCCCGCCCCCTCTCCGACGCCCCGCCCCCCGTCGCCGCGCGCGCGCGCCTAAGCCCCCTCGCCTCCGGCGGAACGCTCGCCGCGCCGCTTAGCCCGCGCGGATTCGGGGCCCTACTGGGACGTCCGGCACCGCTCCTCGATCCAGCGCCGCTCGCGCTCCGAGGGCACGCGGAGCTTCTTCTTCGTCGCGAGCTCGTGGACAGAGCCGCTCCGCGGGTCGTAGTAGTGGCCCTCGCCGACGTCGAAGCAGTCGCGGGGCAGCTCGGGGCCCGGCGCGTTCGTGTACGGCAGCTCGCCGGCCGCGCGGATCGCGCCGGCCTCGCGCTCCGTGTAGAAGCGGCGGTCCGCGGGCGTCGAGTAGGACCAGTGCTTGTCCTGGTACTTGAGCCCGTCGTTGAAGACGTACTCGCCGTCGACCTCCTTGCCGTCGCGGAAGACGCCGTTGAAGACGCCGTTGGCGAAGATCATCTTCCCCTTGCCGTGGAAGGCGCCGTTGTGGAAGCTGCCCTCGAAGCGCGTCCCGTCGGGGTAGGTGTAGACGCCCTCGCCCTCGTAGCGCCCGCTCTCGAAGGGGCCCTCGTAGTGCGTGTCGATGCCGTCCATCGGCCGCCGCGGAGAGCCCGCGCTACCTCCCTCGTTACGAAGTGATCCGTGCCGGCAATCATGGCCTAGCAACTTTGCTTTTTGCGGTGCGCGCCGGGCTGCCCCGTCACCGACAATTTTTGCGGAGATTTGCCCAAGCACGGAGCGCACGACGCGCCGCGCCGCCGCTAGCTTTTGCCCAAGCACGGAGCGCACGCCGCGCCGCGCGCCGCCGCCGACGATGCGCGTCGCCGCGTCGCCGCGGTCGAGCCCCATCAGCTCGCAGGACAGCAAGTCCGTGGCGTCGCAGGATGCGTCGCCGGCCGGGTCGCGCCAGGCCCTCTTCTACGAGAGCGACGACGACGACGACGCGGGCGAGCCCGTCACGTTCCTCGTCAAGGTGCTCCGGTGCCGCGTCAAGGCCGGCTGCGGGGGCGACTTCGCCTTCGACGACGACCACCGCTACGCCGTCGCGCTCGGCGGCGACGGGGACCCGCGGCGGACCGAGTGGGTCGGCGGCCGCGGGAGCGAGGCGCGCTTCGTCGAGGAGTTCGTGTTCCAGCACGACCCCGACGACGCCGCGCCGGTGCTGACGGCGACGCTGCTCCGCCGCCGGGCCGCGGGGACGCTCGCGGCCTACTACGACGGCGGCGAGGACCGCGTCGGCGACGCGGACGTCGCGCTCGACGAGCGGTCCGTGCTGCCGCGGACCGCGCCGCGGTTCTGGGTGCCCCTCCGGAGCCCCGCGTCGGCGGCCGGCGCGGCGTTCCTCGGCTGCGGCGGGCCCGGGGCCGCGG